TATTTTTTTTGTCTTTATGTTTTTTTAATGTGGTTATTATTTAATTCTATGCTATTTTTTTTATTAGGTTTGAATGCAAATTATAAGTATTTTTGAGGGCTTATTTATTGATTTATTTTTTATTTTCAGTAGAAAAACTCTCAAAAGTTATTCTAAACTCTTTTATCTTTGCTTCAGCTATTTATACATTTACTCATCTTTATTTATCTTTACTTTAGTTATTCATATATTGCACGTCTTTACATTTATATTATCTTGTGTGTCTTGCACCTCACATTTTTTATTTTTTTCCCTCTTTCTCTAACTTAATCATAATATTTGTTATACATATATTAGAAATTTTTTTATTAGTAGTTTAAAATAGATTTAAAATAAAATATTATTTGAGTGTGATTTTATCCAAACATCTTTATAGCTTTTTATTCTAAGTATTTTTAATGCATGACTCATTTATCTATTTTTGAATTTTTGGGGTTGATGTGGTTTAACTATAATGATCCATTATGGCCTCTATACTTAATGGAATCATCATCCAGCATCGAAAACTAAACTACTTAAAAATTTTACATTCATAATTAATTAGATATGTACTATATATTATGTATATAAAAGTGAAAGATCTATACAAATATAAACCATATATGTACAATAAAGGTAAGCTAAACAAATATTCATGCTCTGTTCTCATATCAAGTATGATCATCACAGACCATTTACATGGAAAACAAGTAAAGGTAAACTAGATTTAAAAAACATACAAGTGTAGAAAGAAAACATCTATACTACTATCATCACTAGGGGTGGATATATGGACCGGTCTGGCTAAACTCGTGTTTTATACGGATCAAATAAGTCTAACCCGTAAAGTAAATGGACTTATTTTTTAAGTCCGTATCCGATCCGCTAATATTTGCGGATAAAAGGATCGGTCCATGAATCTAAATAATGATTCAAAAAATGTATATCAGGCAGGAAACCCTTGAGACCTCACGCCAGACATGGCAACACCCACACCTGACCCATATATATCAGACAAAGATTCTCTACTTGACTCACACCTGACGTCAACTCATTGTCACCCGATGTCATCTTGACAAAAAGTCCCTATCTTTATTATGTTTGGCACCACCCTTACTAGGGCCCAACGTCATTAAGATAAAGGCTTTTCAATGCTCTCACGTTCAACACCATCCCAATCCAAGATGAGTCTTCCTCTTCACGCCTAGTGCCACCAATCCTATGCTTAGTGTAAACAAGACAAAGGCATCTAATTGAAATCACATCCGACACTATGAAGGTGTGCCCAACGCAACATCAGAATTTACACTTGTAGATCACAAAAAATTGCACTCCAAGACCTGAAATTCAACCTAAACAATCATGCAATACAAGAATCCATGTGTAAACATCATTCTAAACCCATTTTCAACCAAAATTACCACATGCAACAAAAGGTCATTCATCTTCACCAAAATCAGACCACACACTCAAGACCCTACAACTTCACCACATGCAATCCTATTTCAGGTAAACCAAAACAAATTCTGAGTTCCAATTCATACATTCAACAAAAATTAACTACCAAAGTGAGTTCTAGCTTTCTTTACCTCTACTCTGAACCAACCAAGAGGGAGAAGAGGAAGAAGAAGGTGAACTCCAAAAACCACAAAGAACTCTTCGTGCCACCATGGATCCTTGGCTTTGAGAAGCTTTGAATCCTAACCAACTATAAGGAAAATGCAGCTCAAGACTCCTGAGAATCTAAGAGAAGTTGAGTATTTGATACTTAATTCTAAAAAGAAACTTTATATACTTTATTCTCTTAGGGTCAATTGAATCTCAGGCTAGAGAACCCTCGAAACACCACAACACATGCAACACTAACAAAAGGTACAACATTACATTAACTATAATTGAATTCTTTTCTTACAAAATTTAAACAACCTAGAGTGTCAACCATAAAGAAATTTTTCCAACCATAATTGTATATCAAATTTATTACATGAGTGTTTAGTTTCACATTGAATTATCTAGAATTATATTAAAATATCAATTAATGTGATTTTAGGTAAATTTTCACATGTTTAATTTAATGTAAAGAACTTGATGCTAAGCTCATAATTGATTATCATTTGAAACAACTTTAAGTAGTATTCATGTAAGTGAATATAATGAGTTTAACATCACTTTAAAATTAATTTTGTCAAACTCTCATCCAAACATACACTACACACATTATACATGAAGTTAAAAAAAAAAAAAAAACTCAAGTTATTCTCTTTGATTTTGTTGAACCCACTTTGACCGCTTTGACTGAGTATGAATTTTTTCGACTTGAGAAATCGAGTTTGGATAGGAAACTTCCCGCTCCCGCCCCGTTGGATTTTCATATAGCAAAGAAATATATATATATATATATATACGCGTATATCAGCGAAGTTCCCAGAATTCAACACTTGAATTCAAAACAGAAAATTAAACTAGGCTATTACAAAATTGGCCTAC